GAGGAACACGTGTCGTCGGGTGCAGGTGTCGACTGGAATAGGTTAGTTTGCCATAAATGGAAACCTCAAATTCAGGAAATGTCATGTTCATCATCACGTCCAGAAAGTTTATTGACTGATTCACCTCAGCTTCAGTGACAAAGCGTATTTGGCCATTAACATCTTGTTCATCCATGAATTGTAAATTCTAAATTTTATAGTGCAACATCAGTTTTTCCAATAGAGAAAAAAGAACATAGTAATGTATGAATCAAAGACTTATTGTGATACCATGAACCGTCTCATAAATTAGGAGGAATTAAGACAGCGCGCAGTAGTCAAGTCTTCCTTGAACTGTACCAGGGTTGCTTCCAGTGGGTTACGGCATCTGGTTTCTGCAAGAAGTGTTATCTTCACGCGTCAGCACTTTTTCTTTCAGAACTCGAGCGTTACAGCTTGTACTGATGTAAGCAATTAAAGCCAACTTGACGGTTCGAGATTTACGATAACCTTTCTTGACTACTGTAGCGGCTCAGGAATATAGAGACTACTGCACTCAGTTTAGCCATGCAATTCCTCCGCAGCTCGAGAAATCCGGATAGAATTCTTTGCTGACCTAGAATACACTGGCGATAATGTCCTAATGAATAGAACGGGAAGCAACCATCTGACGGGTCCCAAAGCCTGAAAAACCCAGAAAATATTAAATGGCGAAAACAGCGAAAAGATTTGAGTCGATTAACACATTTTCTTGGGCTCAGATATCAACATGCGAGATGATCAGGCTCAAGAGATTCATCGGAGGAAGAGTGTTGGTTGGCGTGCGTTCCATTCCATCAAAAACATCCTCCTTGACAACATCAGGAATGATGCACGCACCCTCCTTTGTCCTCCTGCCGGCGATGTTGTATGGCTGTCAGACGTGGTCACTCATAAAAAAATGGAAAATGCCAGCCTTCTGCCAACGAGACAGCTATGGAAAGAAGAATGTTGAAAATTCCACGTCGACATCGTATCCAACACTGTGATCAGACATCGGGAGTGAAGGAAGTCTTCGTCGAAAAGACAAAGAAGAAGCTGCGATTGACCGGGTTCGTAGCTGGGCCAACTGACGGGAGTACTGAAGATCAGTGACCGCCGACTGGTACTCTCGCCGATGGACTTGACCAGTTGGTCGACTACCGCATTAACGTTTGGAGGAAAAAACTCAAAACGGCGAGGAATGGCGGGCATACTGGGTCTGGCGCGATAACAGCCAGTTTAAGCAATCCAAAGTGAATCATTTAATAACCTGCATATTATTCAAAGAAGAGACGGCATGGCAAACAGGTGAATAATAATTTCTTTGGGATCTCTGCCAAAAGGTACTCTCAATTCTTACATTCATTAATTTCCCTTCATTAACGTAATGTTTCTGAGTAAACGACAGTTTTATACAACTAAGAAAAATGTACTGCTCTTTACTTAGTATGGCATGTGATTCCTTTAATTTGGTTGCCGCATGATCTCCTCATCTTAAATGTTGAAATTAAATTCATTGCATGCAAGATGACTGCGTAAACCCTGAAATTTCAATAATTTAGTAACAATGTGCTAATAAAGCTCTAGTGATATTCGTCTCATCAGCATCACCTCGGCTCCATTATTTCAAAGGACGATGCTAATTTAATAGAGTTAAGCGGAAAGATCAATGTGGCATAAAGCATTTTTACAGTGCTTATTTCAATAGGGTGATATTTTTAACCACAAAACCGACTTTTATCCTTCTTTTGCCTAGTATTCAGTGCTGAAATATAAAGTCGAAAGTGTTGTCACAACAAACACCAAAAATGATGAAAAATTACCGCAACAGCAACGCTGATCGTAAAGCCTAGGCAGGTTTAAATCACAATGTCCTCATAGAATGACTCACCAACGAAAGATACCTCAAGTAGGAAAAAATGAGAAAAGGAGATTAGATCTGTTCGATACCACGGTTATGAATTAGTCGTTTTCCATAGGTCATTAGCAGCGATGTTTCTCTCACGGTAGGTGAATAAGGCTGAGACAAATGAGCATTTAGCAAAAAAATATTTCTCATTAAACATAATGATGCCGGATTGAAACGGCGAAAATGCACAGTGTAAAGAAAGAAAAACGGAATGTCCATTTCTCACTTTACACCGACGGTACTGTTGCGCGGTTCCCTTGCTTCTAGATCTATATCCTGTCATTCAATCGCCTACGGATCATGGCAATCTTTGTTGAAATATACATTTGATCAACTCTAGTTTGAGACGCTGTCCTGCGTCCCATGCTCTTCAGTTGTTTAAATACCATGGAGCCCTGGCCTGCTAAAATGGCCGCCCTACGCGTCTAGAAGCAAGAGGGCGATGCAATGGTGCTGCTGGTGTAAAGTGAGAAATATATTTTCCCATTTCCTTTCTTTGCACTGCGCATTTTTGCCTTTCAGTCCGGTGCCATTATTTTTAATGCGATATCTTCAGCGGCGGCATCGAGAGATCCCCAAGAGCATCCGGGGTATATTTCATCCATCGCTCGCCAACGGATCGTGGTATTTTTGGTGAAATATGCTTTTATTCAACTCCAATTTCAGACGCGGTCCTGCATCCTCTGCACTAAAACATCATGGAGTCTCCGTCGCCTGCTTAAATGGACCTCGAAGGCGATTAGAAGCGAGGGACCGGTGCAATGGTGCGGTATAACACAGTGTGAAGACTGCTCTCTAGCTTGCACTATTACAGTATTGCTGTAAGGTAGATGACATCGCTACACAATTTTCACCGTGCAATTATGTTATCGATGGTTAAAAGACAATATTCTCCGACGGCAGATTTCGATCGCCGCCATTCTTGGTAGCTACCCAATGCCACCAGAGCGATACATTATGCTCTATTAATATAATTAATTATCAGATTAAAATGATGAACTTTCTAATGCGGCAAATTCAAAAGAATATTTTTGAGCTAATCTGACTTGGTAAAAATCTTAGAAACAAGAAGGAAAGTCACGTTACACCATATTCTCTAGTTTCAACAACATAATTTCAACATTATTGATGCATCACTTTAGAAAATGAAAAGTGTAAGGCAAAATAAAGCATCGGAAGAACTAGACCGAAGCAGAGTGGGGTAAAAAGAATAAATAGACGAGATGCGGATGAAAGAATATGGTCATTTATGGATGACGTTCTTCATCATCGTCATAATAATTCTGTTTTGAAA